TTGGAGGGGCCAGGTTTCATTTCCTGTCTTCTCCGTCTCGAACCAAATGGCTGTTTGGGGGGCGTTGCATGCTCGGGGAGAGGTCCCAGGTGTGGGTGTCTGCACGGAGCTGGCTGTGAAGGGTCCGTCGGAGATTTGCCTGGAAGGGGAGTGGTGTGTGTCAGTGTTGAGTGCCCAGCTTAGTGGTTCTGTGCCCGGGAACCAAACTTGGGCGTGAAACAAAGGGTACTCTTGGAACCAAACTTAGGCCCCTGTGTCCACGGTGAAAAAAGATCGCTGAAATCGGCCTCTGCAACATGAGGTAGAACAGTGGAATCTGTCTGTATGGATTATGCGACATGATTCCTGTTCCCTGGAAAACGGCTGGAGAGAGTCATATTGGATACAGCCCGCAAGTCTAAATGTAGAGTTTGAGCGCAGATCTCAGATCAAGTTGTAAAGGTAATACTTTCGGGGCTGGTGTGAGACAAGTTGTGGATCACTCTTTAGGCAAACTTGCTATGGCTTGGTCTGGGTGGCTAGCCACTCTTCTTTATTTATGTATTTATTTATGTTTTATTGATTTATTTGAGAGAGAGAGAGAAACTGATTTGTTCCACTTATGTATGCATTCATTGGTCGGTTGTTGTATGTTCCCTTGATACCATTGTAACTAGCTAGTTATTAATGATAGAAAGGAGCACGGGAGGGCCAGGTATTACAGGCTCGTCATTTGGGCAGCTTCACCAGGAAGCTGCAGCTTTACACTCCCCAGGGCTCCAGCAAAGGAAGATAGATGTAGGCCCCGTTAGGTTGGAGGGGGCTAGGGAAGGTGCTGGCTGTCAGTAATGCCTGGGGACAGAAAGGGTTGTCCAGAATGGGTGTGGCAATGCATGGGCTCTAGGGTTTGGAATGCCTAGTTCCCTAAACAGAGGAGTTCTATTTCTTGCTTCTCTTGGGACTCCTGTGACTCTGGGCTTGTGGGGCTCTTTTGCTCCTGCTCCCCTGCTTTCGCCCACTGAATGACTGCAGTAATTCCCTAACTGGCCTCCTGGTTTCTCCTCCTCACTACCACCATCCAGTCCTTTTATTCTTCACATCGCACTAAAGTAATTGTTTTAGCACATAAGTCAGTCCTATCCAGCTTTTTCCTCAATGGAAAAATATCCTCAGGTGAGGATTAACAACAACGCAAAAATAAATAAATAACAAAAATAAAAGCAGTGTTTCCAGATCCGCTTTAAAAAATAGGCTATATCCATAACTTTGAAAACAAAGAATTATTATACTTGTCTGGTGTCATGAGGTCTGTGTTCCTTTTTTCTCTTGCAGGTGAAAATGAGTTCTTCAGTAAGAAGAAAAGGCAAGCCAGGCAAAGGAAGTGGGAAAGGGTCTTCCAGAGGAGGAAGAGGAGGCAGGAGTAACGCTAGTAAATCTCATGGTGGTGGCAGCAGTGGTGGCAATAGAAAGGCCTCAAGTAGAACTTGGGATGATGGCGATGACTTTTGTATCTTCAGTGAATCAAGGTCCTCAACCAGGTATTATGCTCTCTGAATGTTCAGATATGGAAACGGTGTCAATTCCTAATGTATGGGACAATAGTTGCTCAGAGAAGGGGGAAGAAAAGCCAAGTAATTCTGCTCAAGTTAATTGTTCCTCTTATTTTAAAACTTTGCAGTTCCCCTCTTTATAATATAGTCTGAATGTATGATGGCAAATAACAGCTTTTTCTTTTTGGAAGTTCAAAATGTGAAATTAACTTGAACTTCCACATGATGCTGTGAATTGAGTGTAATATCATTGTTGTAACCAATGTTATGAGGAAAGTAAATATTGGAAATGGGAAAAGTAATGAAAATTATTTTAAGTATTTCTTAGGCTGTATAGTTTGAAGGTTCCAGTATGTGACCTGGTTGGACTCTGTCTTTCTAATTGATGAATGATCTGTTTTCCAACCAGATTGACCAAATCTTCACCAGTGCTTCACCTGATAACCAACAATATCCGGGCTTCTCTCATAGTCAACTTTTAAGTAATGAATAAATTCTGATAACTCTAATGAATATTTAATGAAAGTAAAGATGTATTACTGCATACTGTACAATATGTATGTAAAATTGTAATTGTCTCTCAAACTGCACTATGAGCTTTCTATGGGAATTCTTAGAGATGGAGAGATTTCCTTAAAGCTACATACACACACACACTCTTCTGAGAATAACTCTCAACTAAATATCATTAGAAGGAATATAGATGAGTGCTAGAGTTTAACTGTATCATACATGCTTTTAACTTAAATGAATTCAGCTATATGCATTCAGGAAAAAAAGGAAAACAGCATTTAAGTAGTTTAAACTAGCCACTAAGTGAATCTGAGTCCCATAGTGAGCAAATGGAGAAGAATCTGCTATTCCCTCAGTCGGTCTCAGTTTGCAAGTACTTGTTGGAGTTTAAGCCTCTGATGTACTGAGTATATGATGTTAGGGTTTAAAAATAGGTTTTTCTCACATAGTGCCTAGTACAACCAAATACTTCATCTGGTATTCAAATTGTCATTTTGGACATAATGAGAAATAATGTAGTAGTCTCAAACTTGACACCATTTTAAGGACTTTTCCAAAGTAATTTAAACTATATTTTCACCGTAGCTTTTGACTTAAGAGCCCAATTTCTGAGTTCAATGCAGCGCCATTCTTTTTGAAAACAGATATCACAGGTTCTTGCAGTCTTAGATGTTCATTCAGGCAGCAAATGTTAACAGTGCCTACTATGCACCAGGTACTGTTCAGGGACTAGAATTACAGCAATGAGTAAAATATTAAAATAATATCCTTGTCTTCATAGAAGGAGATTTGAGGTATAAAGACCATAAACAAATATGTACTGTTTCAGGTGGTACATGCTATGGAGAAAAATGAAGGATAGAGGTGATAGAAAATACCAAAATAGATTGCTGGTATTTTCAGTAGTTGCTATTTTATGTACAGTGATCAGAGAAAGCTTCTCTAATAATGTGTCATTTGAGCAGGGACAAGAAGGAAATGAAGGAGTGAGCTGTGATACTAGCTGAGGGAAGAGCATTCAAGGCAGAGGGAACAGCAATTGCCAAGTCCCTAAGCCAGGAGTATGCGTGGAAGCTTTAGGAAATGGCAGGGAAGCCAGTGGCTAGAGTGAATGGGCAAAAAGGAGAGTGATAGGCAGTTAGGTCTGAAAGGCTACACTTTGTAGGACTTTATGGGCCATTATGAGGACTCTGGCTTTTGCTTTGAGTAAGATGGGAAGTCATGGCAGGGTTTAAGGCAAGGGTGTGTGACATTAATCACTCTGATCAGAGTTGCTACTATTCAGTATATGCCTTTATGTAAATTAGAAAATGGTGCCCTTTCTTTGGGCCGCTGTAGCCTCAAGGTGCATGATTTGGTGAGTATAGCATGGACTGGATTTTAACTCTTGCTTTTCCCTCCTCCCTCACCCATCTCCCACCCCTGCCAGGAGTCTTTGCACAGTGTACATACAGTCTGTGCAGTCACACTCAGTAGCCCTGACTCAATCTGGAGAATGGACTACAGGGGGCCTGGGTTAGAACCTGGAAGACCGGTTGGGAGGTACTCTCCAAGTGGAGCTGTGTGCATATCTATATGGACAGTGTTAAGAACCGGTGAAGCTAGATAAAAGGTGTTTACTACTATCTTTGTAGGTTTAAAATTTTTCAAAACAAAATGTTAGTGGAAATTATGGATTTGAGGTAGCATTTCGTTTCTGAGGTTGCAACTTAGTAGTTAAAAACCACATTCAACTCTGCTTTCTCCTTTGCTTCCCCAGTGGTTCTTTTCAAAGTCTCCGTAATATGTTGCATTTAAATACAGAGAACATTTCTTCCACTTCCCTAGACTTGTGAAAATGTATAATGAAACATGCCCACCCCTCTAAAAAAAGAAAAGAAATTCATTGAATAAAGTTAAACCTTAGAACTTATGATTTAAATATTAAAAAGAGTCCTTTAAAAAATCTAAATTCCAACAATGAAGGTTGGTGAAATAAATTCTAGTACATCTATATAAGTAATCACTTAAAATTATGTTGTAGGAGAATTTTTTTAATTTAAATTCTTTATTGTTTAAAGTTTTACATGTCTCCTTTTTCCCCCATTGACCTCTCCCTGGGGGCTCCCACCCCACAGCACATGCCTCACCCCCCTACTGTCTGTGTCCATTGGTTATGCTCATATGCATGCATACAAGTCCTTTGGTTGACCTCTTTTTCCCTCACCTCCCACTCCCCACCTTCCCTCATAGGTTGGGCAGTCTGTTCGATGTTTCTATGTCTCTGGTTCTATTTTTGTTCATCAGTTTATGTTGTTCATTATATTCCACAAATGAGTGAGATCATATGATATTTATCTTTCTCTGACTGGCTTATTTCGCTTAGCATAATGCTCTTCATAGCCATTTATGCTGTTGCAAATGGTAAGAATTCCTTCTTTTTTACAGCAGCGTTGTATTCTATTGTGTAGATGTGCCACAGTTTTCTAATCCACTCTGCTGGTGGGCACTTAGGCTGTTTCCAAATCTTAGCTATTGTAAATTGTGCTGCTAGGAACATGGGGGTGCATATATTCTTTCTGATTGGTGTTTCTTGTAGGAGAATATTTAATTTTAGGGAAATGTCAGCTTAAATTTAATAAGGAAATAAAGCAAATTATAAAAAATTATATATGCTGTATAATTTTTAAAAGATGTATATGAAAAAGATAATGTTAATTAGGGTAACCTCTGTTTTCTTTTTTGTTCTTTACTTTTCTACAGTGAACATGTATTTTTTATAATCAGGAAATAATGATAATTTAGGTAAATATTTCAAAAGTAGGCCAAGTCTTAACTCATGAGTATTGACAACTAAATGGAACTCTTGATTGCTTTCAGATTGGCTACCTAACATAGAATACAATAAACACTTTGTGTAGCATATTTCTTTCAAAAGTTCTCCAGTGCAGAGGGAGTCATGATAGCATTGCTTTTTCCAGAGTGTTCTTGAGTTAGTGAACCAGTTTTAATGATTAAGAATCTGATCAGTGTTTTTTCCAGCAGTTCCAACATAATGAAGTCTAGTAGGGATTGTAGGAAACAGAGGACCTCTTCCTATTCCTTGTCATCTTTTGTAAGATACTTGACAATCTAGTTCATGTTATATATATATTTGGGGACTCTCAGGGGAGTGTAAAAATTCTGATTACAGGTAAATGTGTAATTTTGTTATTGTGTCCTTTGCAGACCTAGCAACAGTAACGTAAGAAAAGGAGACACACGCCCCAAATGGAAGCCCAAAGCCAAAGTGCCCTTACAGACTCTACATATGACTTCTGAGAATCAAGAGAAAGTGAAAGCTCTTCTCCGAGACCTGCAAGAACAAGATGCGGATGCTGGATCTGAGTAAATTATTTTATTTGAATAAATTACGATAGTAAGGAAGATGCATTGGCATTTTCACATACAGTGAAGATCCTGTGTGTCCTTAGAATACTGTATCAATACTGATCCTGTTGTGACTAACTAGTTGAAAGTGAACTAAGAGAAATGCAAGAATAAAAGTATTCAGCAACAGTTTTAGAGTGAATCTGTTTTTGCAGTATCTGTGAGCACTAGTACAGATTGCGATTGCCTTTTCTTTTTTTTCGCCCCCCTAGGACAATGCTAATATGAATTCAATAATTGCTTTATTGACAACCTTCCAAATAAAACCTTGTCATGAACAAGTAGAAGTATTGTTCTAGGAACAAATAATGAGTTGATCTAATAAAGTCTTAAGATTTATACTACTCATGTCCATCTGCTTAAGAGAAACAACTTCTACTCTTTTGACTATTTTGCTTTTTTATTGCAGTAGTTAATTTTTTCCACTTGCCAGAATTAATGAATGGTCAGTCATGAGCAGCTCAATTTCCATCCTCTCTACAAATCTCCTATCTATCTTAGATTTAGGGAAAGTGGTTATGCAGCAAAGCAAAAAATTAGAGGTGGTTTTTATGAATGATAAGAAAAAAGAGAGGATAGCCAAGACATACAGTAAAGAATACAGGTTCTGGGGTTAGACTGACTTGGTTAAAGTCTCTAGTTGCTCTTACCTGTATAACCTTTGGCAGTTACTAATCCTTTCTAAGTTTTAGTTGATCATCTGAAAAATGGAGATTCCGATAGTATCTCGTTGGGTTATTGGGAAGATTTTAAAAGAGGTAGTACATAAACATAGTATCTGGCATTCAGTAAATGCCTGATAAATGTTAATTGCCAAGATATAAATTAATAGGTGAATAAAAGATTAAATCACTGACTGAATAGTGGTCAGAATCCTGTGTCCTTTGGCTTTCTAAATTAAATGCTTAGACTCTTGCTAAGTTTTTCTTTGAAGTAAGTAGAAATTAGTATGTAATATATGAAAATGTTACCTTTTCCAGAAGAAGCATCTCTGGGGAGGAGGAAGATGATGAGCCTGACTGTGATGATGCACAGTACTGGTTAGCTGGACAAGAAGCTTCCCTTGTTCCTGACTCTGATCCTTTGGATTATGCTGGCTCAGGCCCAGTGGAGCCTTATAATCCAGAACTTATAGTCTCAACAGTTGCAGTGCAAAAACTTTCCAGGTGATTGCTTTCAACGTTCATACCAGTTGGAAGAGAATTCAGGGAAACAGAAGGCATATCGGAAACCCAACTACCCTCCCCCGCTTTGAGTGTTATCCTATTGTATGCGTTCCAGAAGTGGTGATATGTCGAATATTCTCTCTTTTAGGTTAGAGCAGTGGTTCTCAACCTGTGGGTCATGACCCCTTTGGGGGTCGAACGACCCTTTCACAGGGGTCGCCTAAGACCATCGGAAAACACATATATAATTACATATTGTTTTTGTGATTAATCACTATGCTTTAATTATGTTCAATTTGTAACAATGAAATTGGGGGTCACCACAACGTGAGGAACTGTATTAAAGGGTCGAGGCATTTGGAAGGTTGAGAACCACTGGGTTAGAGAGATTAAGGAGGAATTAGTATTATCAGGGACTCTTTTTCAAAATACAAACCCTGCATAGATATAGTTATAATTTCACATAAATGTATTTAAATGATTTCTTATTGCTCCTTTTTTGTCATGTTTCACACTTGGCAGGTATGGTTTCAACCCTGAACGCTGTCAGGCAGCCCTGAGGGTTTGTGACGGAGATGTAGGGGCATCACTAGAATATCTGCTCATCCAGTGTTTTTCTGAGACATTCGGAGAGAGGATGAAAATCTCTGAGGCAGTTGCACATATGAGCGAGGATGAGTGTGTGGAACCGCGACAGGAAGAGGCATTTGCTCTCAAGTCAATCTGTGGAGAAAAATTCGTGGAAAGAATTCAGAACAGAGTTTGGACCATTGGATTAGAACTGGAGTATTTGACAAGTAAATTCCGCAAATCCAAGCAAAAGGGAAGTACCAAAAATATACAGGAGACTTCACTTGATATCTGTAAATTTTACCTCAAAGGAAACTGTAAATTTGGATCAAAATGCAAATTCAAACATGAAGTGCCCCCAAATCAAATTGTTGGAAGAGTAGAAAGAAGTGTAGATGATTCTCACCTTAATGCTCATGAAGATGAATCTTTTTTATATGAACTTGAAATTCGATTTTCTAAAGACCACAAATACCCCTACGAAGCTCCCCTGGTGGCATTTTATTCCACCAATGAGAGTCTACCTCTGGCTTGTCGTTTACATATTTCTGAGTTCCTTTATGGCAAGGCCTTGACTTTTGCAGAAACTGCAGAACCTGTTGTATATTCTTTGATTACCCTTTTAGAGGAAGAATCAGAAATAGTCAATCTACTAACAAATACCCATCACAAGTACAGTGATCCTCCAGTGAACTTTCTGCCAGTATCCTCTGGGATCAGAATAACTAATCCTTTCTGTCGTAAACCAGTGATTCCACATAATTCTTTTGTTTCAAGTCGAATTCCAGAAGGTATGTAAGGCATTGACCACGTGGAGTGCATTTTGGGGTACAGGGGGCAGGGGCATTCAGAATGATGGACTAAAGAAGTCAGAGGTTCTGAGGGATAGTCTAGGATCTCCCAGGGATCTCAGGCAAGTCATTCTCCTCAGCCAAGGGCAAAAAGGAATGAGAATCCCCTGAACGAGGCCTGACTGTAACTGGAAGGCCCAATTTTGTCACTGTGATTAGGCTCCCTGAATTGAAAGTTTGAAGTGATTTGTGAGTTTACTCTAGCAGTTGAGGGTGGGAAGAAACTTATAGCATCTTCCCAACAAACCTGTTTTATTTAATTCATTTGGTTTTACTTGTTTATTTCTGATACTTTATGTGGCATTACTTTCAAATGAGTTTTTAGAGATAGTTCTCTTTATATACTACTATTCATATTCTCTTGCTCTTAGTACACTAGACTGCCAAAATTCACTGGAGTAGGGCTATCTTCATGAATCCCTAAATCCTCAAATAAAGAAATGTTTGCACAGGCTTCTGGCTTTATCCAGATCCAGGTTTGCTATACAGTTCTTATACTACAAGTAAATCCCTTCAGTTCATCAAAGAGTTCTCTCTTATTTGTTGCTATCTTTCTTTCAGAGGAATAAATTTTCATTGTTCACAAGAGTTCCTAGGTAAACGTCAATAAGTAGAGAACGCGGCACTGAGTTATGGGTGCCAATCAGTTGTCCAGTTTCCTCACTCGCCACTTGACTCACTCCCAAATGCCAGCTTCTAGCACCAGGATTCAAATGCATTTCTCAAGAAATGACAAATTGTGGGTTGTGGACTTTTTAGAAATTATGGCTTTAATGAGATGTAATTTGCATACCATAAAATTCACCCTTTTGAAGCTTACAATCAAATGATTTTTAATACGTTCACAGAGTTGTACAACCATAAACAGTCTAATTCCAGGACATTTTCCTCACCCCAAAAAAGAAACCCCATACCTATTACTAGTCACTCCTCTTTTCCCCCAACCCCTGACGACCAAGAACCTATATTCTTTCTCTATGGATTTGCCTATTCTGGGCACTTCATAGAAATGAAATCATGCAATACGTGGCTTTTTGTGTCTGGCTTCTTTCACTTAACATGTTTTCAAGGTTCATTCATGTTGTAGCATTTGTCAGTACTTCATTCCTTTTCATTGCTGAATAATAGGCCATTATGTGAACATACCTCATTTTTTTAATTGATTCATCATTTGATAGGTTGTTTGTATCACGGAATTTTAGGTGCATTTGCCAGTAGTTTAAACTTTCAGTTAATTCCTTGAATGTAAAAAGTCTACTGGATTAACATTTAGCCATGCCATGATTTTCTCTTGTTTTTAACTTAATTTTGTTTTTAACAGTAGCCACTTATACTTGAGTAAAGTTTGTTTGAAGGTGCATTTTAAGTTCTTCAGCAGTAGAAGTAGTAGTATTGAAATGAATGAACCTGCTTTATTCATGCTTTAACTTTTTCTCTTATTTTATGATTTTATTGTTGTTGTTACTTTGTTAGACGATGATTTTCCCCCTTTGATAAAGAAAGGGCTCCATGTCGAAAATGTTTCCTTTTGTCCCCTTCAAGTTGAAAAAGAATCAGAACCTCAGGAGGAGACAGATGAGGATGAAGGTCCTGCACCAGTGGTAGTGGAGAATGAAAGCTATGTGAACCTTAAGAAAAAGATTTCCAAAAGATATGACTGGCAGGCAAAATCAGTACATGCTGAGAATGCTAAAATCTGCAAGCAGTTCCAAATAAAACAGGTAGGGTATTCTGAGAGAATGGCTAGCATTGCCTCCCTTAAGTATGGATGAAGGGATTGAGGAATTGGGAAGCTTTGGCTACCCTCCCTAGTATACTTTTGGTTCTCTTTTACTGAGTGGTCAATTTATGCATGCCACAGCAAACTTGGGCACATAATCTAGATAGTTTTGGAAAGTCCAATGGCTGGTGAAAATGAAATACACACCTATATACCAAGTATTCTCAGAATCACGTGGCTTTGGTACTATGACAGACAATCTGATGAGTGGAAGGAAAATTAATACTGTACTGTGATTTACATTAGAGGAATCACTGTAGAAAAGGAAAAGGAAACAGGTAAGGGGGAATTTTTACCCATTTCAAAGGCTCACAGGATAAATAACTTCCCCTAAGTCACACAAATAGCTAGTAAGCGGTAACATAGAGGTTCAAGCTAATTCTGTTTCCAAAGCCTGTGTTGTTTTTACCCCATTCACATGAAGATTATTTTAAAAGAACCTGCCGGTGAACTGTGAAGGCAGAGTTGGATGTGGGACAAAAGGGAGTGGCTTAACCAGTTTGGGGATTGGATTAGAGAGATGCTGTGTAAGGGCCCTTCCAGTCCTAAAGTTCTGTGATTCTGATTTGACACAGTATAAAACTATCCCATATATAGTACAACTAGAGGCCCAGTGCACAAAAATCATGTACTGGGCGGGAGAGGGGGCCCTCAGCCCGGTCCGTGCCCTCTCGCATTCCGGGAGCCCTCCGGGGATGTCCGACTGACAGTTTAGGCCCACTCTCTGCTCTCTGCGGGGAGCGGGCCTAAGCCGGCAGTCAGACATCCTTAACGTTGCCATGGAGGCGGGAGAGGTTCCCGCCACCACCGCTGCACTCGCCAACTGTGAGCCGGCTTCTGGCTGAGTGGCACTCCCCCTGTGGGAGTGCACTGACCACGAGGAGGCAGCTCCTGCATTGAGCGTCTGCCCCCTGGTGGTCAGTGCGCGACATAGCGACCGGTAATCCCACTGTTCAATCGATTTGCATTTTAGCCTTTTATTATATAGGAGGATACCCATAGAATGTCAAAATGAATAGAAAATCACACCATAAGGATAGAAACAAAAACGTAGCATGTTCAGTTGGTCAGTGTGCTTAGAAGTGATAAATTTATGTGATAAAATTATATGCAGAAAATGATATGTTGGTATAAATTTCTTACATTATTCAAAAACACATCCACTTTTAATGTGTAACACCATATAGTATTGGCCATTAGATGTCAGGCTGAGTTGCATAGATGTGATGATTGGCCAAAAAGAACCCTTTAATCAGTACTCTTACTGATTAAAGGATTATTGATTTTGGTAGAAATCTGATATTGTGTAGAACTGTGCTCTGCAATATGGTAGCTTCTAGTCATGTGTGGCATTTAAATTTAAATTCATTAAAATAAAATAAAAAATTCAGTTCCTCAGTAGTATTGGCCACAGTAAAGTGTTCAGTAGCCACATGTAGCCCAGGGTTACTATACCAGACAGTGTAAATATAGAACATTTCCATCACACCAAAAAGTTCTATTGGACAGTGCTGGTGTAAAAACTCCTGCAGGAAGAACTGAATAAGTACTCAGCAAGAGGGGTTTATTTCTCTTCTAAGGTCTTTCCTTTTATTCCGATGAGGAAACCATAGATTCCACAGCTTATTCTGGCTGATTCTCTGAGCATCCTTCTGACTAAAGTCATCAGTATCCACCCCCAACAAATTTGCAGTTTCTTTCTCTGAATAAATTGTTAAAGAGCAGGAGGGTGGGTCTATGGTTTTTCACATTCAGAGCTTTATGAGAGGTGGTTCAAAGTAACCCAACTGATACTTATCTTTTATGTTCTTAGACCTCCAGACAGTTCCAGTCAATTCTGCAAGAAAGACAGTCACTGCCTGCTTGGGAAGAAAAAGAAACCATTCTTCAATTGTTGAGCAAGCACCAAGTACTTGTTATCAGTGGTATGACTGGGTAAGAATACAATTTACTTATAATGCAGCTTTCATCTGTAAATATGGTATTACCCTGTTTACCATAGCCAGTTCTATTTTTGAAAAGCCAGTAGTTGGTGTTATTTGCTCTTATTCCTGTCAAACATTAAATAATATTTGACAGGAATTAATACTACAGTATCTGTAGCCAGCAGAGCCAAATTACACAAAACAAACATAAAACTCAGAAATACATCTAGGAATTTATGGACATCGTACACCTCTGCCGTGAGATAATTTTAAGGCAAAAGGTTTAGCTGAATGCTTTTAACAAAGCCCATTTTAAAAGGTAAAGAATAGCTCCAGAAAACTTATCTTCTAAATTTATTCTGCTTTCCTTAGAGCTTTTATTTTTTCTTTTAAGAACAACTTAGGGCACATTATTTTTCCTGTTTCACACTCTTTATATGTTATCAAAAACTACTTAGCAGGGACAAGTCACAGGCTTAATTTAATTATCTATTCAAGGGTTCTCAATTTAATCATTACATTTGTGCCCAGACTCACTGATATAGTAGTAATTTTGTATTTTGTAGTTTCTTATCTTTTTTTTTTTAAATATATTTTATTGATTTTTTACAGAGAGGACGGGAGAGGGATAGAGAGTTAGAAACATCAATTAGAGAGAAACATCCGATCAGCCGCCTCCTGCACACCCCCGTACTGGGGATGTGCCCGCAACCAAGGTACATGCCCTTGACCGGAATCGAACCTGGGACCCTTGAGTCCGCAGGCCGATGCTCTATCCACTGAGCCAAACCGGTTAGGGCATTTCTTATCTTTTTAACCTCAGTTCACTTGCAGCCAAGTTAATACACATCAAAGGGAAAAATATAAAGTATTCTAATCTTAAGACAAGACTCCTGTTTCTTTTTTTTTTTTCCCCCACAGGAAAACAAATCCATTTTATTTATTTTCAGTAAGTTTAAATCCTTGAGGGGTACAGCATTACACGGATTCTGTGTCCAGTAGCCTTAGCAGGAAGGTTGCTTCGGAATTTAGCAGGAACCATTCCACTGTTCCCATGAGCACGAGTTACCTTTCCCCAGATTACTCTGGTTTTGTTTGGTTTGCCACCAGGAGTCACCGTGGTGTTCTTTGCTTTGTACACATAAGCACATCTCTTGCCTAGATAGAATTATTTCATCTCGAGCATAAACACCTTCAATTTTAAGAAGAGCTGTGTGCTCCCTCTGGTTCCAGAGACCCTGCTTATAGCCAGCAAACATGGCCTTGGGCCATAGCCTTCCAGACATATTTGTCCTTATAGAAATCCTGTTCCCCGCAGGCCCCTAAGGTTCAGCAGCAGCATTTCCACTCACCTCCACAGGGTCCAAGATGGCAGAAAAAGGAAGGCAAGGCCAAGACTCCTGTTTCTTTAGGAGTCATATGTAGAGTTCATGTTCCTAGAGTCATTTATAGACCTTAGTAATGTCTAGTCAAAAGTCCCAGTTATGCAAGTGATACTAAACTATTCTTTGATTGCCCTGTCAGTGAGTGCAAATTTCTAGGAGTTATTAGCTATAGGTAATAAGTCAGTGTAGGTTTAGAAGATAGATGAAGCTGAACTACTTTTATTACTTAGCTTTCTGTCTTTTCTCATCGCATATGATTGCTTCTTTGGTTAACTGGCACTTGTAAGCTCTCATTTTAGAACTTACTTCTTTTGACATACAGATGTGGGAAAACCACACAGATCCCACAGTTCATATTGGATGATTCTCTGAACGGACCACCAGAGAAGGTGGCTAACATCATCTGCACCCAGCCCCGACGAATCTCTGCAATCTCTGTCGCTGAGCGTGTTGCTAAAGAGCGAGCAGAAAGGGTGGGTCTGACTGTGGGATACCAGATCCGCTTGGAGAGCGTCAAGGTTTGTATGTTCTGCTTATTTCTTGATAACAGAAATTTAGTTTTCATGTATAAAGAATTCTTGGTGTTTGGAGATTAATAGGAAATTTGGGATATACTTCAGAAGTCCTTTTGGAAATGTTTTGGTATAAAAACTCTTATTGGTATACTTAACTTCCTCTATAAAGACCTTTTATTGTTATTTTTAAATATATCTTTATTGATTTCAGAGAGGAAGGGAGAGGGGGGAGAGAGAAGGAAACATCAATGATGAGAGAGAATCATTGATTGGCTTCCTCCTGGACGCCCCACACTCGGGATTGAGCCTGAAACCCGGGCATGTGCCTTCATCGGGAATCAAACCAAGACCTTTTGGTTCACAGCTCAATGCTCAACCACTGAGCCACGCTGGCAGGGCAAAGACCTTTTATTCTTTATTGGCAGAAGTGATCTAGGGAATTAATCCATTTGTTGAATAAGGAATGGACAAATTCAGAATGATTTTATCACTCACTGTTGTTTTTATGTTTAATAATATTTTCTAAATGCTTTTTATGAGTCCTAAACTTAAACTTTTTTGTTGTTTTTGTTAATCCTCATCCGGGGGTATTTTTCCCATTGATTTTTTTTTTTAATCCTCACCCGAGGATATTTTTCCATTGATTTTTTTTTTTTTAATCCTCACCCGAGGATATTTTTCCATTGATTTTTAGAGTGGAAGAAACATCGATGTGAGAAAAACATCAATTGGTTGCCTCCTGCATGAGCCCTGAGCCCAAGCCGGGGAGGAGCCTGCAACTGAGGTGCATGCCCTTGACCAGAATCGAACCCGGGACCTTCAGTCCACAGGCTGACGCTCTATCCACTGAGCCAAACTGGCTAGGGCTCCCATTGATTTTTTTAACCAGTGAGCCACTCCAGCCAGGGCCTAAAGTTAAAATTTTGATATGAAGTAGAAAAGCTTTTATTGTCACCAGCAAGAAACTGCACTTAGTATGGTTTCATATTAAATGGAATTGCTATTGTTTTCAATACTTTTTATCCCTATCCATTCACAATGTCTTTGCCAGTTAAAATGTTTCCTTTTTCAAAAATTTCATGAATGCTTTCTCTGCCCTTTTGCATGCCAGTCCTCAGCCACCAGGCTGCTATACTGCACCACAGGAGTGCTGCTGAGAAGGCTCGAGGGAGACACAGCCCTACAAGGAATCACCCATATCATTGTTGATGAAGTCCATGAGAGGACAGAAGAAAGGTAAACAAAGGCTTTCCAAATGCATATCCACACAATATATGAAGACATGGCTGAAAGCATTTTATTCTGCTTCCAATTCAGTTTCTTAGCATGAGTAAAGCTAACTTGGCAAGAGAAGGCCTAAGTCACAGAACAGGAACTGCTTTTCTGTGGCCCCAGGGTCGATAATACTAAAAATGCTAGGAGAGCACATGTTCATGACTGAAAGAGTCACCCTATTATTCTGGCCAGTATGGCTCAGTTGGTTGGCCACTGTCCCATGCACCAAAAGGTTGCCAGTTCAATTCCTGGTCCGGGCACATGCCTGGGTTGTGGGCTCGATCCCTAGTCGGGGCGTGCAGGAGGCATCCGACCAATGTTCACGTTGATGTTTCTCTCTCTCTCTCTCTCTCTCTCTCTCTCTCTCTGCCTTCCTCTTTCTCTAAAAAATCAATTAAAAATTAGAAAGAAAAAAAAAGAGTCATCCTGTTACATGGACATTATGTAATAAGCGATACCTCCTGGTGTCTTGCTGAGCTGAGCACTGTACTTAGCAGAAATAACAGATGTAAAGCATGCAGCAGCTGATGGACTTCGTTTGGTCAGTCATTCTGTCCTGACATCCATTTAGATGTTATAGTGAACAAATGTATATGGCTCTCCTTCATCTCTTATGGTCTGGTAGGAAAAGCAAATAATGAACAAGCAAACAAACAAATAAATAATTACAAATTGGAATAAGTACTATGAAGGAATAAACAGGAAGCTGTGTTCGGGGGACAGACCAAGAAGATAGCCAGATACCATATGTCTGAAGAGACGACATTTAAATTAAAACCTAAAGTATGAGGAGTCCTATGTGACAAATGGGGGCAAGGCCAGCATTTGCAAAGACTTCAGTGGGATGGGCTTCAGTGGACTCCAAAAACTGGTGGAAAACCAGCGCAGCTGGTGTGTAGTGAATAAGAGGGAGAGTAGTAGGAAGTGAGTGGTGGGGTACAGATCATGTCACATAGGGCCTAGTTAGTGAGGACATCAATGTCATTGAAGGATTGTGAACAGAAGGGTAGCACAAGCTGATTTACATTTGAACAGAATTATTGGTCTGCTGTATTGAGACTAGATTTCAAGGGGCAAGGGCTAGAGCAGGGAGAACAGTTAGGATGTTGCTATTCTACAGAAAATATTGTTCTACAACTTGAGCTTTATTTACTAAAATTGCCATAGAGATGCTTTCATGTCAGTATCTAGAACTGTACCTTATTCCTTTTATCTGCCCCATGCTATTCTACCGAATGGATGATATTGTTATATTAACCGTTTCTTGGTTGGTGGACATTCGGGTAGTTTCCATTGTTTTACTACTATAAACAATGTCATAATGAACGTCTTTGTATATGCGTGCCTCTTTATGTACATGCAGATATCAAGAAATAGAATTATCAAATGCAATGATAAATCTTATTGGTATTCTAATTGGTACTACACTAAATTTGGTTTATTTGGGGGGAAAATTGATATATTTTTGTTTGTTTGTTTGTTTGTTTGTTTGTTAATCCTCACCAGAGGATACTTTTCCTATTGATTTTTTTTTTTAGAGAGAGTGGAAAGGAGGGAGAGAGACAGAGAGAAAAACATCAATGTGAGAGGGACACATCAACTGGTTACCTCCTGCACGCTCCCCAACCAGGGCCAGGGATCGAACCTGCAACTGAGGTACATGCCCTTGACCAGGAATTGAACCTGTGACCCTTCGGTCCAGAGGCTGATGGTCTAACCACTGAACAAAACCGACTAGGACTGATACCTTTTTGATATTAAGTCTACACATCTGGGAATATGACACATCTTTGTATAAACATTATAATTGTTTTCACATAGGTCTTAAACATTCCTTGCTCAAAATATATCAAAAGTTATTAATTTTCATTCATTGAATTTGTTTGATCCTCAGGTGTTTCTTTTATTTCCTCTAGTGACTTCTTGCTGCTAGTTTTGAAGGACATTGTGTTGCAGAGACCAACGCTCCAAGTTATTCTGATGAGTGCAACTTTAAATGCTGAGCTCTTTTCAGAATATTTCAGTTCCTGCCCAGTTATTACTATACCAGGTGACTAAAATACATCATTAAATATATATTCTTCTCATAAGCAAATAAAATTATTTTAAAGCTAAATTGAGACATAAATTTATAGGTATTTATTCCTCTTTCTAGAGAAGAAGTGATTAGTTTGTAACAAATAAAATTATAAGCACATAACGAAATTAATAAAGAGGCTACATTATGTCCATTTTCTGGGAGATTTTAATTTTATATGTGCTGTTTTGAAAAGTCCAGGTTACTAGTGTTTCTTGCATTTCATTGTGTTTAATCTAAAAATGTGAATTTATAAGGGTATTCTGTCAGAAAGGAGAAAGTTGTATCTGTGAAGCGCATATCTGTTCATTGCTGGTTTCTGCTAAATTTCTAGATATTGGTCCATTCTGAGAGAAAGTAAAGTTGGGTAGCTTGTGTCTTCTTATGGTGCTTTCACGGTTTCATTGTGGATTAATTTATCACCTACGACTCCTGTTTATCCTCCTGCAGTTGATTGCGAAGGAAAAATTGGGAAGCACTGACTAATGAGTATTAGTCCTGTTTGTTCTAGTTACAGAGAATTTTGACAGTAGATTTAAAGAAGAAATTATATGGGGGCCAATGGGAGAAAAAGAGGACATATGTAATACTTTCAACAAAGAATTATTTAAAAAATAAAATAAACACTGACTTTAAAACCATTAAAAAAATAAAGAAGAAATTATATGCTTGATCTAGAGTACAGTTGTTAAATCTTTAAAGGTCCCTGTGGGGGAGCAGGGGAGGATAGGAAAAGCATAACAAATGGTTTTTAAAAGGCAAAAGGTTTATTAGCAAATAATCATCTTTTCACCTTTATACTTCTTTACAAAACTGGAATCTTACCCGTTCCAATTTCTATCATCAAAAGTTATTTTTTCCCTGGGGACGGGGTGGAGGGATCATTGGGGGTGGGGGACATCTTTCAACAATAAAGATAAATTTTAAAAATAGTTAAAAAATAAAATTTTTAAACTTTTTAATCCTTTTAAGACCACAAAACAAATAGTACGTTATTGTGCTAAGCTTTGTTTTAAGAGAATTTTGCATATATAAACTATTTCAGGATAGCTTAACAGGTATTCTGAGGCTTTCCTATTTTATTTTACTTATTGTCTATTTTGTTTTTCAAGGTCGAACTTTTCCTGTTGATCAGTTTTTTCTGGAAGATGCAATTGCTGTGACAAGGTAAGGAAGACGTTAATTAAGGTTTGGTGAAAGTCTTTGAAAACAGAATTATTATTTTACCTCAGAGTATTGGGATACTAATACATGTGTTCATATTTTCTTCTAATATTTCTATTTGAGGATTTTGTTTTTCCCTTTCTTTCAGCAAATATTTATTATACAAATTATTTGCAATTTGCAGGTAGTATATTAAAAGTAATGACTCTTGAACCCTAATGCAAACTATGGACTTTAGGTGATCATGATGTGTCCATGTAGGTTCATCAGTTGTAACAAATGTATACTCTGGTGGGGGATGTTAACAGAGGGGGAGGCTATGCATGGTTTGGGGAGACAGGGTATATGGGAAATCTCTGTGCCTTCTGCTCAATATTGCTCTGAACCTAAAAATATTCTATTTTTTTAAATGATGAAGGGCCAAAATGTATGGAGAATGTAACATGGAGGAAAAAAAAGTACTGATTCTTCAGACAGACTACCAGTATTTAAGTCCCTCTACTTCCTAACTATAACATTAGTGAGTAGCTTAATTTCTCTATAACTCAGTTTAATTACATATAAAATGGGTGCGTTAATGGTAGCTGCTTCACAGGGTTGTTATGAAGATTAATGAATTAATGCTTGGAGTTAATAGTTGCAAAGTGCTTAGACTGTGCCTGGTAGGTACATAGCAAGTGCTTTGTAAATGTTAGCTGTTATTATCATCGTTCTACCCTCAAGAAGTTGCAGGTATAGTTTGCGTATTAAGATGTCCATGTAATGTTAGTGCTGGGTGGAAAAGGGTAATGTCCATTGGGTACAGACTTCTCTCCTTTGTAAGCCCTGCATCCTCTTCCTACTCTTTAACCCTGAAGATTCCTCAGGGCTTTATCCTGGCACTGTTTCTTCTCACTATTAAACTCTTCCTTAGCTCTCGTAGACTTGTGTGGTTCCAGTTGTCACCTGTATGCCAGGAACTCCCAGATCAGTATCTTTATTCCCAACGCCTGAGCTCCAGAATAAAAACACCCTGATGTCTGGCACCTTACACTCAACTCAGAATTTTTCTCCTTCTCCCTGCTCCTTTCCTTCCTAATAAACCTCCCTCTTAATTCTCTATTTATTTCATGGACCATATTCTCAAACCAAAAGTCCAAAAACTGGCTCTCAAACTTTAGTGTGCAGCAAACATACTTAAAACTGTTGTTTTCTGGGCCCTATTCCACTTCTATTGAATGTGAATCTCTGGGCAAAACATCTTTCAACTAGTTTACCTGCCTCTATTCTCTCACTTTTTCAAATTCACTGCCTCCAGAATTATCTTCAAATAGAGCCAAGAGCATTCCAGTGTGTTCCCCACCAGAAATAGGGCAGAGCCAGCAGAATCCTGGACTGGTGGAAGATGGCACCACAATTAGAAGCAGCAACATTCTGCTGAACGAGCGCATAAAACCGGGGAATGTTTTCGTTCACCAGCAGACCCACATACACACAGACACATTCCTTTGTCTTCCTCCCTCAGGTACGTGATACCGGATGGGAGCCCATATATGCGCTCCATGAAACAGATGTCAAAGGAGAAGCTTAAAGCAAGGCGCAGCAGAACTGCATTTGAAGAAGTAGAGGAAGACCTGAGGCTTTCCCTTCACCTCCAGGATCAGGATTCTGTCAGAGATGCAGTGCCAGATCAGCAGTTAGATTTTAAGCAGCTCCTGGCTCGCTATAAAGGTACTGTGCTTCCTGGGGGATAGGGCAGTTGTGCCAAGGATAGCTACAGTGGGCCCTTGAAAACACCAGTGGGAACTATGCGAGGCCACTTATAGACATGTCTTTTAAATAAATGTGATAAATGTATTTTTTCTCTTCCTTATGATTTTCTGAGTAACATTTTCTTTCCTCTGACTTACTTTATTGTGAGAATACAGTATATAATACACATAACATACAAAATATGTGTTATTGGCTGTTTGTTATTGGTTGGGCTTCTGGTCAACAGAGGCTATTAGTAGTTCATTCCTAGGTGAGTCAGCAGTTGCATGGATTTTCGACTGCGCAGGGTGTTGGCACTCTTAACCCCCATGTTGTTCAAGGGTCAGCTGTAGTTTTATTCCCGCACCATGATCCTGAAGGAGAAAGACGGGGCTCTTGTTTTATAGTTACATTGCCTTTAATTCATCAGAACAACCTTAAACTTAGAAAAAGAGCAGTTCCAATGCATATTAGATTATAATTATTACTAGAGGTCTGGTGCGTGAAATTTGTGCACAGGAGGTGGTGGGGGAAGGGGGTAGTGTGTGACCCTCAGCCCAGCCTGCACCCTCTCCAATCTGGGACCCCTCGAGGGATATCCGACTGCCCAGTGAGATCAGGCCTAAACAGGCAGTCGGACATCCCTCTCACAATCTGGGACTGCTGGATCCCAACCACTCGCCTGCCTGCCTGCCTGATTGCCCCTAACCACTCTCCTGCCAGCCTGATCAATGCCTAACTGCTCCCCTGCTGGCCTGATTGCCCCCAACTGCCCTCCCCTGCTGGCCTGGTCACCCCCAACTGCCCTCCCTTGCAGGCCTGGTCCCCCCCAACTGCCCTCCCCCGCAGGCCTGGTCTCCCCAACTGCCCTCCCCTGCTGGCCTGGCCCTCCCCCCAACTGCCCTCCCCTGCTGGCCATCTTTGACCACATGGGGGCAGCCATCTTGTGTGTTGGAGTGATGGTCAATTTGCATATTACCTCTTTATTACATAGGCTATTTACCAGTGGGTTTTTTCTAAAAGAAATGTGTTCAGTATAAGAAAATTGGGAGATGGTAAAATATAAATTATATTCTTTTTTTTTTTTTAAGTATATTTTATTGATTTTTTTTTACAGAGAGGAAGGGAGAGGGATAGAGAGTCAGAAACATCAATCAGCTGCCTCCTGCACAACCCCCACTGGGGATATCCCCGCAACCAAGGTACATGCCCTTGACTGGAATCGAACCTGGGACCCTTCAGTCCGCAGGCTGATGCTCTATCCACTGAGCCAAACCAGTCAGGGCTAAATTATATTCTTGAGTATTTTGTAATTTTTTATTTTGATATTATTTCAAAATTAAAGTTTGTAGGACTATACAATGACCCTGACTGGTTTGGCTCAGTGGATAGAGCGTCAGCCTGTGGACTGAAGGGTCCCGGGTTCAATTCCTGTCAAGGGCATGTACCTTGGTTGCGGGGATATCCCCAGTGGGGGTTGTGCAGGAGGCAGCTGATTGATGTTTCTGACTCTCTATCCCTCTCCCTTCCTCTCTGTAAAAAATCAATAAAATATATTTTTTAAATTAAAAAAAAAAAAAGCCCTAGCTGGTTTGGCTCAGTGGATAGAGCATCAGCCTGCAGACTGAAGGGTCCTGGGTTCGATTCCGGTCAAGGGCACCTGCCAGGGTTGCTGGCTCGATCCCGGGAGGCATGTAGGAGGCAGCCAATCAATGGTTCTCATCATTGATGTTTCTATCTTTCCCTCTCCTTCTTCCTTTCTCTCTGAAATCAATAAAAATAAAATTTAAAAAAAAAGACAATGTATAGACAATGAACTCCTATATCCTTTACCCCATTTCATCAGTTGTTATTATTTTGCTTCATTTGTTTTATCATTTGTTCTATGTACGTATTTTTTTCCCTGAACCTTTTGAGACTAAGTTGCAGCTATGATGCTGCTTAACCTCTAATATTTCAGAATGTATTTCCTAAGAATAAGGACATTCTCTTACATAAGCATAGGACATACTCAAAATGAAGGCATTTAACTGATACTAATATTTAATTAACAGTCCATATTCTAATTCGGCCAAATATCTCAATAGTGTCCCTTATTGTTATTTTTTCCTGGTCGAGGATCCGACACAGCATTACATATTGTATTTAGTTGTCATGTGCCTTTAGCTTTTTTATTTTTGTTTTTTATTTTAATCTGAAAAAATGTCCTTTATTTTTCTTTTATGACCTTGACACATTTTTTTTTTTAGTTTGGGCCAGTTTTGTCGACTGTCCCTCCATTTGGGTTTGTCTAATATTTCCCCATGGTTCAATTTAGGTGATGCATTTTTGGTTAGAAAACCACAGAAACAATTTTGAGTCCTTCTCAGTACATCACATCAGGAAACACAATGTTGATTTGTCCTATTGTTAGTGATGTAAACCACTGATCCATACCAGCCGGGCTCGTTTTTCTTTTGAAATTTTAGAATTTTCTTTAAGAGTTATGACTGGAACTTCAGAGGGAAGGTAGGGGAGGGTGGGGGTAAGGGGGAGAGATCAACCAAAGAACTTGTATGCATGCATATAAGCCTAACCAATGGACACAGACAACAGAGGGGGTAAGGGCATGAATGGGGGGGTGGGGAGGCAATGAGGGGATAAGGACACATATGTAATACCTTAATCAATAAAGAAAAAAAAGAGCAATGCCTTTCTAATTTCAAACATAGAGGTTACCACAGTTCAGAAAGCACTTCTAAGACTTCCTTTCTAAGAAAGAAGGATGGCAGATTTGGGTCAGAAAACCCAGCTTTGTCACTAGTTTCTGTTGGGTGCTGGGCTGGTTGTTTAGCTTCTCTGAGCCTCCCTGTCCCCGTAAAAAATACTTGATCTAGTTGATCTCAGTGCTCTTTCACTTTTCAGAAAATTAAATATGTTCCCGAGCTCAATTTTTAAATTTTTTTCTAGTTAAAAAAAAAATCAGTCCTTTAAAGTATATAATTGATTGATAAAAACTGCCAAAATATTTTTTAAAAATGTTTTTCACATCTCTTCCTCTTTGTGCAGTTAGTTAATCCTTTTTCCTTTTTGAAAAGTCTGTTTGGAACCTTGACAACTAGAAATGCTTCTTTCTCTGCCTTCCACACCCAACCACACCCTTATTTATGTAGCCTATTTCTTCCTTCCTTTTCATGTTTAACCAACAGAGCCTAGAAAAGCATCGTTTAGAAACTGCTTTTTTGCTTCTTCAAACTTTTTAGCATTCCCTTCCTCGATACCAGTTGCAGTTGTTTTGTCCCAATTAGGCTGTACTTAGGGTGATAGACCATTAGGAGGACCCAAGAGGAAAGGGCAGCAGTCTTTGGGGAGCTATCTCCCCATGATACTTGTTTTTCACAGAGCTGGGGCTTATAATGCAGCCTCAAGACCTGTATATTTTATTAGGCCTCAGATAAATTAAAAGGAAATTGTAGACCCTTAACCTGAAAGTCTATGGATAGACTTCAGAGATATTGGTGAAGCCATTGGAATCACATGTATGTTTCAAAGAAGATCATAACTTTTATTATTTTCTCAAGTTAACCAAAAGGTTAAGAGTCTCTGTTGTAAAGGTGCTGGTGAAAGTTGTGATTTCTGTCCATTAATTTCCATGGGTTAATGTTACCTGGACAGACTCATGACTTGGTTAAATCTGGAAGAGGTTTCTAGAATGTATTTGACTTGGAGTTTTATTTCTAGGACTGAAATTGTCAACAAGTGTGTGGTAGATAAAAGAGGGGAAGGAAGGAGGAAAAGAAGTGGCCTATCTCGCCCTAGCCGGTTTCGCTCAGTGGATAGTGCGTTGGCCTGCCCATGCGGGAGGCAACCAATCGTCTCTCTCACATCAATGTTTCTATTTCTGCCTTTCCCCTTCCCTTCCACTCTCTCTAAAATCAATGAACAGATATCCTCGGGTGAGGATTAACCAAAAGAAAAAAAAAGTGGCGTATCTGGACCTTCCCAGCAGGGTTAGGAGCTTGCTCTTTGGGTCATTGTTCAAGCAGGAAGTTTTTTGAGTAAGCATGTATGTTCTGAGAAACTGAAAGAAACAAAATTCATTTTAGTACAACAAATGTTAACATCTGTGTTGTTAAATCACATCAAGACACTCACCTAGTTCCCAGGCATATATCTTCAATAAGGTATAATTATCCTGGTTTTTTACCTTTCTTTCAGGGGTTAGCAAATCAGTCATCAAAACGATGTCCATCATGGATTTTGAAAAGGTTAATCTTGAATTAATCGAGGCCTTGTTAGAATGGATTGTGGATGGAAAGCACTCCTACCCCCCAGGTAACTGTTTCTTGTCTCCATTTATGTGTAAGATGGCAAAAGGGAAGGAGCTTACTTCCTGAGATCATGGGCACCACCTCCCTTCCTGGAGCCCTCACCCCACTCCAGTTATATGTAAAGTTGCTTGTTAGGCTTTTCAGGAGAAATTTTACCTTTTACCTTTTGAGGTTCACCCACTTTTTTTGCTCTTCACTCTTGCTCTCACCAAACAAAAAGATGTTAACAATACAAAGTCCCAAAGGAAGAAAACCGAAAAGAAGGCCTGGATGATCCATTGTTACCCACTCAGGCCCTGGCTAAATGGGAGCCTAGTAGTGAGTGTTTAAATTTCATGAAGACTCTGCACACCAAGGCCAAAGGGCATTGGGGTTAAGAGAACAGCTTTAGAGTCTGATAAACACCCCAGCTGTGCTACTCAGGAACTCCATAACTTTGGGTAAAGTGATTATTACAGATATCCCTGAAATAGATGGCCAAGCCATGAGGGCAGAACAGATCAGAAGACACATAAATATATAGACAAAATATTTTCTTCCATCCATAGAGATTATCATACCACTCTTAAATGGTGTGGTATTTTAGTAGGGAGGAGCATGCAGTATGTAATGGAAAGAGAATGGGTCTGATACCAGAAACCCTAGGTTTGTGTCCAAGCTCCACTCTTACTGACTCTGTGACCTGGCCAAATTACAGGGTCACTCTAAGATGGCTGAGAGGATCAAATGAAATCATGTCTGTGAGCATGCTTTGTATACTATGAAGTGTTAAAACCAACTCGGAAACATACCTTCACCCTTCTTCAGAGTTTCATTTTTGTAATAATACTAGTGACCCGGTGCATGGATTCGTGCACATTGAAAGGAAATTAATTAGAAGGTGGCCGGTGGGGCGGGCTGGGCAAGACGGGCCCTGGAGCCAACCTCCTGCGGTCCCTCCCCGGCGTCTGCCGAGTGAGCGGAGTCCCTCCAGCAGGTGGGGTCCCTCAGCCTGGCCTGTGGGGATTGGGCCAAAACAAGCTCTCCGACATCCCCCAAGGGGTCCCAGAGTGCAAGAGGGCACTCTGCAAAGTTGCTGTTGTACAGGGTGTGGAATGCAAACGCAAGTGTGCAGTAAACCAGATTTGGGCCAACAGTGCCCCCAGCAACAACATAACCCACAGCCGAAGGTGGAATTGCATGGCCCCGTAAGGAATCGGACTCCCTCCCCTTTGGTCTCCAGGTGCATCACCGGAGAACCACCGCTGCCAAGTCACTGCAGCTCGGCAGCCCCTGCATTGAGTGTCTGCCCCCTGGTGGTCAGTGTGCATCATAGTGACCGGTCGGACAGTCGGACACTTAGCCTTTTATATATATAGACTAGAGGTCCAGTGCACGAATTTGTGCACGGGTGGGGTCCCTCGGCCCAGCCAGCAATTGGGGCCATCTCACCCAGTCCCAATGGGGGCCGGCCGGCCAGGGAGTGACCACAGGAGGGCTCCAGGGCATGTCCAGCCCTCTTGCCCAGTCCCGATCGGTCTGGCCCTTGGTGGTTGGTGCACGTCATAGCGACTGGTCAAGCAGTTGACCATCGGTCAGACACTTAGCATATTATGCTTTTATTATCTAGGATTATATAGGATAGTTTCCTTACTTATTTATTGGGGAGAATAACTGCAATAAATAACAGGTCAGGAGCTCTTATGGACAGATCTTTGTTTTATATCCCATTGTACCTAGCACAGAGGTGACATAGGTACCCAATAAATATTTGTGAGATTAAAGATGTGTGCCAGCCGAAACCGGTTTGGCTCAGTGGATAGAGCATCGGCCTGCGGACTGAAAGGTCCCAGGTTCGATTCCAGTCAAGGGCATGTACCTGGGTTGTGGGCACATCCCCAGTAGGAGATGTGCAGGAGGCAGCTGATCGATGTTTCTCTCTCATCAATGTTTCTAACTCTCTATCTCTCTCCCTTCCTCTCTGTAAAAAATCAATAAAATATATTTAAAAAAAAAAAAAAAAAGATGTGTGCCAATTTCCTCTCCGAATAAAGCATGGAAGAAGGTAACTATCACTGAGTGATTGCTCTTCAGAAATATACTATATGATCAGTTATCACTGCTTATTTTCTTTCTTTTTTTTTTTTTAATATATTTTATTGATTTTTTACAGAGAGGAAGGGAGAGAGAGATAGAGAGTTAGAAACATCGATGAGAGAGAAACATCGATCAGCCGCCTCCTGCACATCTCCCACCGGGGATGTGCCCGCCACCCAGCTACATGCCCTTGGCCGGAATCGAACCTGGGACCTTTCAGTCCGCAAGCCAACGCTCTATCCACTGAGCCAAACCGGTTTCGGCACTGCTTATTTTCTTAATGTCAAATTTAAAAGCCCATAAACCACCCTGGCTGGTGTGGCTCAGTTAATTGTGGTGTTGTCGCATGGATTCCCAATCAAGGCACATACCTAGGTTGTGAGTTCAGTCCTCAGTCAGGGTGTGTACGTGAGGCAACCGATATCTAGCTCTTTCTTTCTCCTTCCCTCCTTGCCTCCCTCCCTCCCTTCCTCTCCAAATAATCTATAAAATATAGTCCTGAGTGAGGATTTGTTTTTTAAGCCCATAAACCATTAAATGGCATGGTTATTTGATGTGCTACATTTCCACATATGTCTAAATTTAGATTACCAGGTTGGCAAGCAAATTATAGTTTCTTTGTCTCCTTTTCAGTCAAATGTTTATGGATATTTTTTAGTAATAGGAGAGTTTTCCTACCTTAACAGACGAGAAGGATAATCTTCCTACAGAAATGTCAGTGACCAGTGCCCTGAAGAAACATGTTTAAAGAGCTTTGCCAATGATGCTTGTATAAGTTAAGGCATTATATTTTCCCACTCTGCTGTTTTTCTTGTTGCAGAAAGATAATATCCCATTTATCTTGTAGTAATTAAGTCAGAAAATATATTTTAAAAGTTTGTTATCTATTAATTCCTTGGGGACTTTACAAGAAAACTGAAAGTGAAAAATCTCAGATTATTGCTTTTTTTTTTTATTAAAAATAGCTTTATAATCTGTTAGTTTTTCCCTTTTTGCCTCTATCTGATTGATTCTCTTTATATACCCAGGTGCTATACTTGTATTTTTACCTGGATTGGCAGAAATCAAAATGCTTTATGAACAGCTACAGTCTAATTCTCTTTTCAACAACAGACGTAGTTATCGGTAAGTTAATTGCTTTCTTATCCTCAGTATCTATTGCAGTTATATGCAAAGAAGAGTAACCAGAAAGGTCTTTTTAACAGTCATCACCTTCTTTAGATTCTGCTGTCACTCCTCTAGAATACATTTGTTTATGCCAGCTGGAGATAGACATACCTTTTTGTTCCAGAAAATCAGTCATTCCCATGCCATTAAATAAAAATATTTCTCTTCACTTAGCATAGTGACTCAGCAAAATTGCATGTAATTTCAGTTGCCAGATACAGGGCATGGGAGAAGCCAATGTTAGTAACAACAAAGAAATGATCCCATTTTGAGAAAAAATAATTTTCAGTAATTTCTATTCTGGTGGAAAGAAACATTGGGTGTGTCTTCATATCGAAGGAGACAACTACTTGACAGATGAAAACTCCCTAGAAATATAAGAATGAAATTTCTTAGTGTACATCACTGTCTCTGACTCTCTTGCTCTGGATTTAAAAGTAGGGAAAAAAATGAACGTGTGCTCTTGTAAAATGTCAACTATTTAGTCTTCTTGATTATTTACTACTGAATTACACTCCAGTTTTCCCCAAGTTGATGCAAGGTTTTTAGTTTCATAGGATGAGTAAATACTTTGTCAGAATCAGAAAGCACCTTCCCATTCAGAAGAGCTGAGCCCTGAGGGTGGGTGGTGATGGGGAAGCTGCTGATTCTTGGTGTGATGGTTAAATAGAAATCCACCCACTGTAGTCCAATTTCAGCACTTTACACTAGAACACTCACTGTGCTTTTATTGCCTTTCAGATGTGTTGTTCACCCACTTCATTCATCTTTATCCAGTGAAGAGCAGCAAGCTGTGTTTATAAAACCTCCTGTAGGTGTAACTAAGATTATAATTTCCACCAACATTGCTGAGACATCCATAACCATTGATGATGTTGTCTATGTCATCGATTCTGGGAAAATGAAAGAAAAGAGGTATTGTCTTTTGGCAGTATAAGGGAGGGGCTAAAGATGCCTCATTAGAATGACAAAGCTCTTAATAGTTAATGCTATTAAACTACATGGATTGTGTTTGAAAAATATTTTATGAAAACTGTATATAGATATATGAGTGAGTCTATAGTCGGTTCATATTCTTAAAGTCAGATGGAGATGGAAAGTTTAAGGTTTTGGAAGTAATTAATTAGTTTTCCTCCTTTTTTTATATGCTTTACATGTGCTTGAATGAAAAAGCATTGATATGGAAGTTGGTATATGTTAATTACTTTGATATTGAAATCATTTCACAAAGTCTACATATATCCAAACATCACATTGTACGCCTTAACTATATACAATTTTTATTTGTCAAAAATAAAGATGAAAAAATTTTTTAAAAAGAGAAGAGTTAAATAGATTGTATGTAGTAGCGTTCGATACCCTTTAAAGTAGCACTAATCTCCTGCCAGAGACTCAACTATCGCGGAACACAGACACTGTCCTACAGAAGGAAAGTGGTTCATCTAATCTCCATGCTAAGTCGAGTCTTGGCCATGTCTTTATAAAATAGCCCTTTCTGACATTTTATTTTTCTTTATAGATATGATGCCAGCAAAGGGATGGAAAGTCTAGAGGATACTTTTGTCTCTCAAGCCAATGCTCTGCAAAGAAAAGGTCGAGCTGGTCGTGTTGCATCTGGGGTCTGCTTCCATTTGTTCACTAGCCATCACTTCAGTCACCAGCTTTTAAAGCAGCAGCTGCCAGAAATACAAAGAGTGCCATTGGAACAGCTCTGTCTAAGGTACATCCATGTTTTCTTTTTCTTAGTAGGAGACATTTTGCTGAGAATGGACATGGAAAGAGCTCTTCAGTGTTACCTATACCATTCCTTTTAAGTTTCTGCACATAAAGATCTGTTACATTGGAGAGGATAGTCCTATAATAGACCTTAAGAATACCTTTGTGAGTCAGAAAAGGAATCTAACTTATCGAGAATAAGTTAGAGGTTCCACCAATATCAAATCATCACATGGAAAAATCTACAGCCTCATTATCAGGTAGAGCAAAGTGAACAAAAACTACTTAAAAACTCCATTATTTACCAGATGAACAAATAAGAATAAGTATGATAAAATGGAATTTAATGAATGAATGATCAAACTCAACGTTACTGCAGTTGGGAAATCTATGGTTCAACCTTTCTGAAAATTTGCTTGGCATTATACAAGAACTCTAAAACTGTCCATGCCCTTAGACCCACTCATCACTTTGAGGGAGTATGCCCATAAAATAGTAACGCAAAGGGAAGAAGTTACTTGTGTAAAGATGTTATAGCTCTTCTTTTATCCAGCAAATTTATTTTAAGAGCCTTCCATTTGCGAGGGGTTGGGCTAAGCACAGGGGTACTGTAGGATACAAGTGTTCATGGTGAAGTCTTAAGAAACTGGGCAAGCAGATGCCTTGAATTAAAGTAGTAACAATGCAAATGAAGAGCAGTGAAGGGATTGGAGAGAGCTTTGAAGTTGATTGACCCTTGAGGGAGTATGAGAGAAGGGGAAATGTTATATATGTAGCACATATGATTTAAAAACAACGCAAATACGACAGTGGGGAAATAGGTAAATCCTATAGGCCAACATGGTTCATTATTATTATTATTTATTTTATTTTTATTTTTATTTTTTGCTAAATCAAAATTTAAGTGGATTACTGTCAAGGCATATGTTAAAGTGAAACATCTACGTGATCTAAGTGGAAAAAAGCTAGATACCAAATATGTGTCCATTAGTAAATATGTAAAATTGTATTTTATAGGTTCACAGCTTAAAAAGGAAATGCATATAAGTGAAATAAAGAAATGTTATGTAAGATTTTTCTCCTCTGAAAAATGCTTAAATTCATAATGTAAAACAATAGCTTTTCAAGAGCTGTGAAAAGTCAGGACACCGTGCAGATTGATTTTATAAATAATTATTATGCAATTTCAGATGTGGGAAAGAGAATAAGTGGATCATTCCAATTTTATTTCATGATTTGATTCCACTATTATGGAAAGAAGCATTTTGAAAGTTTATAGAGAGAATTTTCTTAATCTCAATAAATTTTAGAATCTGAATGTGTTTCTGCAATTTATTGCTGGAGAATGAGACATAAGAGATTTTTTTTTATTTTAAACCAACATTGTCTGGCTTATGAAAGCATATATCTAGGAAATTATAAACTACTAGAGGCCCTGTACACAAAATTCATGTACGGTAGAGTCCCTAGCGGCTGCCGGCTAGGGCCTCCCTTCCCCGGCAGCTGGCTGCCTTCTGGGGCCTTCCTTCATTCCGCGCTGTCCCCTGGTGGTCAGCACACATCATAGCAAGTGGTCAAACTCCCAAGGGGACACATTGCATATTAGGCTTTTATATATATAAATTTTTATTCAAGAAAGAAGCTTATTTCTTGGTGTGATCCCATCATAAATAAAATTGTCAAATTATTTTTTTCCCCAGAATTAAAATTTTGGAAATGTTTAGCACTCATAATCTCCAATCGGTGTTCTCTCGGCTCATTGAACCACCACACCCTGATTCTCTTCGTGCCTCAAAAATACGATTACGAGACTTGGGAGCATTAACTACAGATGAAAAACTGACCCCCCTTGGGTATCACTTAGCCTCTTTGCCTGTGGATGTGAGAATTGGCAAACTGATGCTATTTGGGTCTATCTTCCGCTGTTTGGATCCTGCTCTCACCATCGCTGCCAGTTTGGCTTTTAAGTCTCCTTTTGTAAGTAAACAACATTCATTTAAAATGGAGTCCAGGCCCCGCCAGCGTGGCTTAGTGGTTGAGCATCGACCTATGAATCAGGAGGTCATGGTTCGATTCCCAGTGGGGGCACATGCCCGGGTTGCAGGCTTTATCCCCAGTGGGGGACGTGTAGGAGGCAGCCAATCAATGTTTCTTTCTCATCATTGATGTTCCTGTCTCCCTCTCTCTATCGTTTCCTCTCCAAAATCAATAAAAATATATTTAAAAATTAAAATAAAATAAACTAGAGTCCATTGGTCTCTAAGGGGACTGTGGGGGCTACAGGGTTATGTGAGCCCCCTAAAGGTTTTCTTGTACTTGTATGTGAATTTTTCAGGGTACAATGTCTATAACTTTTATCTGATCCTCAAATAAATTCATACCCCAAATGAAGATGAAGAACTGGAGATCTAACTTATTAAAATAATCTAAATTTTTTTTAATTAAAAAACTTGCTAAACTTGCTCATTATAGGAAAATCAGAAAATGCAAACAAGTACTAGTAAAAGGTACCTCTGCATGATTTTACCAGGGAGTAAATACATTGGACCACTTCTTTTTTTTAACAGCTTATTGAAATACTAGAGGTCTGATGCACAAAATTCATGCAAGCGGCTCGGACCCCCTGCAGCCGCCTCTGCCTCGGCCTCTGCCTCAGCCCTCGCCCGCCACAGCTTTGTCCAGAAGGTCGTCTGGAAGGACGTCCAGTATAATTAGCGTATTGTGCTTTTATTATTATAGATAATTCATCCAAAGTACAACTCATTAGTTTTTAATACTGTGTGCAGTCATCACCATAGTCAGATTTAGAATACTTTACCACCTCATAAAGAGATCCCATAACTATTACTCCCCAGTTCCCTTTAATCTTCCCATCCACTCCAGCCCTGGGCAACCACCAGTCTACTTTCTGTCTCTATAGATTTGCCTCTTCTGGACATTTAATATTGATGAAATAATATAATATGTGGTCTTTGTGACAGGCTTCTTCACTTAGTATAATGCTTTTAAGATTCATCTATATTACAGCATGCATCAGTACTTCATCCTTTTTATGGCCAAATAATATTCCTTTGTATGAATATACCACATTTTATTTATACATTCAGTACTTGATGGACATTTGCGGTTGTTTCCATCTCAAGTATTTTCAGATTTCTGTTTTTAGTTTTTCTGGTACCAGTTGGTTATTTAGGCCTGTGTTCTTTAATTTCCGCATACTTATGAGTTTCCCAGTTTTTTCCATTATTGATTTCTAATTTCATTCTATTATGGTCAGAGAACATACTTTGTATTATTTCAGCCCTTTAAAGGTTATTAAGCTTTGAATTATGGCCAACCATATAGTCTGTCCTGGAGAGTATGTTATGTGGACTTAAGAATGGATATTCTGCTGTTGTTGGATAGAGTGTCACTCGGCCTTTTTCACCATGGCTTAGCTCAGAGAGACTGGGGGATAGATCAATGTACCCATTTTGTTCAGCTTTAATGTTATACTTCATGAAATTGTAAACACATAGATCTGCAAAAAGATCTTAGTTCAGTCCCCTCATTTAACAACAAATGACAAAACCAAGGACCTGAGTGGGTAATGAAGCTTACTCAGGGGCATGTGGGTCGGTATTGTTGTGAGTAGGACCTCTGTCTCAAATCGTCTAAATAAACCTCTCACTGGCTGCTTTGTTTTATTGGAATACAGAAATATTGATGTTCATTACAAACACTGATGTCATCCTTAGCCTAAACCAGTGATGGCCAACCTATGACATGCGTGTCAGAGGTGACACGCGAACTCATTTTTTTGGTTGATTTTTCTTTGTTAAATGGCATTTAAATATATAAAATAAATATCAAAAATATAAGTCTTTGTTTTACTATGGTTGCAAATATCAAAAAATTTCTATATGTGACACGGCACCAGAGTTAAGTTAGGGTTTTTCAAAATGCTAACACGCTGAGCTCAAAAGGTTCGCCATCACTGGCCTAAACTAAGCATCTGCCCTTTGCTGGGTTTTGTAAACGTAATGTTAACTTCCCAAATATAATCCTTTTCCCACCGGCCCTCCTAAAAAGGAAGGTGTTTGAAAAGTTAGAATTTTAGATTTCAGATCTAGCTTTCAGAATGAGTGTCTCTTTAATGACATCTTGCCACCAGGAACTAAAAGACCTAGTAGAGCTTATTTGGGGTGGGCAGACAGACTCACAAGGGCAAATAGTGGTAGCTTGCCCGTAATGCCTATAATCAGCCACAAACTGAGTACTCTTTGTGCCACACACACACTTCCCAAGGCACCTTGCTTCAGCAGTAAGAAAGTCCATGTGAAACCGGAGGTAAAATGTGTCATTCAAATCTGATGTTCCTTATTTAGGTGTCTCCCTGGGATAAAAAAGAGGAAGCTAACCAGAAAAAGTTAGAATTTGCATTCGCAAACAGTGATTATCTGGCCCTTCTACAAGCATATAAGGTAAGTATATAACCTAATAGCCGAGGATTATTCCAGAGCTGGCGCTAAAGACAGAGAAAGTTCATTTTGATTTTCTTCAACATTTAGGGGTGGCAGCTAAGTATGAAAGAAGGTATGCGAGCAAGTTATAATTACTGCAGACAAAACTTCTTGTCGGGCAGAGTTCTTCAGGTGAGTCGTTTCTGTTCTCATTCATTTTCTATTGTAGTAGCACGTCAGAGGGTGCTGCACCTTCATCTTGTGTGTCCTGCCTTCACATTGAAAATGTTATTTCTGGAATATGCTCAGTTTCACCAGCTGTGTGAGACAGACTCCTGAACTACGCATGACATCGGCCTTCTGTGCTAAACCTTTTCCCTTTTTCAGTGAGCTTGTGTTTACTTATGGGGAGGGCGGGGAAATATAGGCACTCCGAAGCTTGCTGCTTACTGGAAATCAGTTTTTTTTAGTAATTTTACCAGGCATTCTCAACCTGGATCCATAACCCCTGAAATTGTATGCAAAATCATATCCTTATACATATGTGCCTTATTCTGGTAGAGGAATCATGCTTTTAGCAGGTTCTCAAAGTGGGTTATGAGCATCCTTAACCCTAATCCTCCCCCTAAAACCAAAGAATGAATACTGAACCAGATTTTCCTCGTGAGTTTTCTTTATGCCCATCAGAGGCTACTATATCAATGATGAGTACACAGGAAAGAAAAAGGTGTATCATCTTCTGTGTGGTAGCAGGCAGGGCTCCTCTGTTGTGACAGTGTTTCTAGATCCCCCTCCAAAGTGGCACAAGAAGCCAGATACTGATGGTGCACATCTTTTTTTTTTTTTTTAATATATTTTATTGATTTTTTACAGAGAGGAAGGGAGAGGAATAGTTAGAAACATGGATGAGAGAGAAACATCGATCAGCTGCCTCCCGCACACCCCCCCACCGGGGATGCACCCGCAACCAAGGCACATGCCCTTGCCCGGAATTGAACCTGGGACCCTTGAGTCTACAGGCCGATGCTCTATCCACTGAGCCAAACCAGTTAGGGCAGTGCACATCTTTGAGTAGTGTTTTACTCGAAGGTTTTGAGGCTGGAAGGGGGAAGAATGTTACTTTCATATTAAAAGATGGCCTGGAGTAGAACACAAAATTAAGGTCCTTAGTACTTACCAGAACCTGACATTATTTATGTATCTCTCTATCCCAGAAGCTCCATCAGAGCAGAGACCTTATCTGTTTTGTCCAATACTCTATCCCCAGTGCCTAGAACAGCCGTGGGCAAACTACGGCCCGTTTGAAATGAATAAAACTAAAAAAAAAAAAAAAGACCGTACCCTTTTATGTAATGATGTTTACTTTGAATTTATATTAGTTCACACAAACACTCCATCCATGCTTTTGTTCTGGCCCTCCGGTCCAGTTTAAGAACCCATTGTGGCCCTCGAGTCAAAAAGTTTGCCCACCCCTGGCCTAGAACAATGCATGCATGCCAGTATTTGCCTTCATTCTCATCTGCCTTTAGATGTACTTCAGTGAGGCATTTTGAGAAAGCAAAGGTTCTAGCTGTATTATAAGTACATCGAAAGCAATAATTTTTCATTCATGGCTGCACATTAGATTCACCTGAGGAAGCTTACAACAAAAAAGTAAAAATGCCCAGGTTCCACCCCATGCCAGTTTCATTGGCTCTCCAGGGGTAGGGCCTCAGCATCTGTTTACTGTCATTGTTGGGTTGACCAAGTGATTCTAATACACAGCAAGAGTTAGAGTCACTCATCTAAAGAACATTTTTATATGTAAGATGCAGTAATAAATATTTCCTCTGGTCATTAAGATTTTTTAAGTATAAATTACACTTCTTTTAAATTACAATTTTTACTAAATTTACTTATTCTTTTTTTTTTTCCAGGATACATGTAGATTTTGCTGTGCTCTATGAGGTCCATCAAATAGAGTTCCCTCTTTTCACTAAACTCTAGCTTGCTTTAACAAGATGTCAGTTAAAGCCATGTATTTATTTATGGCATATTTAACTCCGGGTTATATTTTGCCATGTTCCGTATGTACTTGAGACATTCCTACAAAACACTCACATTGTCATCAAGAGACAGGATAGTGTTGCTTCGCTCTCGGTTCCCATGATGTCTTTATCTCCTTTTCTATTGTCTGATGTGCAGCTTATATTTGAACAGAAGCCAGAAGAGAAGGAGGTTTGGGCTTTTTCTTTCTCATACTTGTGCTCAGCTACAAAAAGGAGGGTCTAAATCTAAACCAGTTAATAATGTTCCTATTCCTAGGAAAAGATGTGAGCCAGCGAGACCTCCAGGTAAGCGAAAGGGAAAGTGGTGAATGCAGAACCAACCACTCTAGGCTCAGGTAAAGAACTAAGAGGACCTGAGCAGAGATGCAGGTAGGAAAGACCTAGGCAGTGTCACAACACCTGGAGTCGGGTCCCAAACAAAATTAACTGCATTTTTTGCTGACCTGAGAATTTCCAGGAACATCAGACCTATCCAAAATCCAATGAACATGATTTTTAAAATATAATCTAGAGGTAAATGAATGATCTTTGGGGTTTTTGTAGCTTATTGAATTCTCTGTAACTATTTAGCTCTGCTGGTTTGCATTCATGTAAACTGCCTTTTTGGAAATGACCTGTTTGATGAACCCATATGAGCCTCATTACTGTCCACTGAAGTAATGAGTTTCTGTCTCATTCATCATTGTAAGACTATCTCCACTTACCTTTGATATGTTGATGCCCCTGCTTAAACACTTTCTCCACTTATTTCAGGAAATGGCCAGCCTCAAACGACAATTTACTGAACTGTTATCAGATATAGGCTTTGCGAAGGAGGGACTCAGAGCCAGAGAAATTGAGAAAAGGGCCCTGGGAGGAGATGGCATCCTGGAAGCCACAGGAGAAGAGGTAAAGAATGTGTAATTAGCTCTTAGTTCTCTTTAATTCGAACATGGATACTATTTTAACTCAGGAACACATGTAGGCATCCTTCACTTAAGCCTATGAGCAGTGGTTTTGTGGCAATCTTGGTTTTCTTCTTTCCACAAATAAGTGTCAGCTAACACTGATAAAACCATAAGGGTTTCTGTTTTTTAAATTTCACACTGATTCTTGATAAATCCGTAAGAGGTAGAATCGACTTTCCAATAATGTCTTCTTAAATCAGACCAGCTTTTTCCCAACCAATAATAATTTTTTGTATAACTATAGGAAGAACACTTCTTCAAGATGAACCTGATGCCACTCTGTTCTAAGTGAAGTTAGTACTTTCTGGAGATTGTGAACATCTCATGAACCAGAATCTTTCTCTCTATTGAGCCTTAGGAACACTGGCTTTGTAGCTGCTTTGCAGAATCTGGGAAGAGTTTTCATGGGCTTCTTGGAGTGGGTCCTGTGTGAATGTGTGCCGATAGATCTACTTTTCACTTAGAAAATACAATTTTTTTAGCACAGGGATAGAACTTAGATGCTTTTGTCTGTTTTAAGATAGAAATCAAATGACATTATAATGGTAAATTCCAGGGCACAGACAAAAGTAGCCACATTACTTATGAAATTAATGCTGCATTTCTCTCACAGGCAAATTCAAATGCTGAGAACCCCAAGCTGATATCAGCAATGCTGTGTGCTGCTCTGTATCCAAATGTAGTGCAGGTAACAAAATGCTTTTCCTGGATTCTCCCACAACTTGTCTCACTTGGAGCCAAGGATATAAGTTAAGTCATAGCATTAATCATCTCACACACGCAAACACACACACAGCCTTTCAAACTTAGTGTATATTTCTAAACCTTCACTTCCTTAACCTGTTTAGATGCATTGTTCAAGAACATTTATTGTATAAAATGGGTTGCTTCTTTAATCCTTCTGACATATTATGACATTCCAGGAATTAAAATGGACATGTATGTTACTTTCTCAGCAAACCTATGCCTAAATAACTATCCTTCTGTTTTAGATAGGAATTTGATTTGACTACATTTCTCTTATACCCTTTCCCTGGACTAAAATGAGACTAAGAACAAAGTCAAACAAGTCAGTGCTTTGCCGTGGACCACCTGTGCCAGCGCACTTCTGGAAACCCCTTGTTGGGCCCTCATCTGAGTTCTCATTATCCAGTCCTTGTCACCTTAGAATCTGAGTTTGTTGGAGTACTGAATCACTTCTCTTTTAACTTTTTGTTAAATTCTCAGTTGACATTCACTAATTTATGGTTTGTTTTCTGCTTAGTACTTGCATGTTTTTCAAATCATTTGAAATTTATTTTTAAAAAATTATTTGGAACAAAACTATGGAGACAAAAATAAAATCAGGGGCTGGGGAGGTGATGAATAGGCAGAGCATAGTAGATTTTAGGGCAGTGAGAATAATACATATCATAATGAAGGATACATATCATTATACATTTACCCAAACCCATAGAATATATAACACCAAGAGTGAACCCTAAAGTAAACTATGGATTTTGGGTAGTTATGAGGTGACAAAATTTACTGTCATAAGCCCCCCATAATGAACACTCAAACTCTTGGTAGGAATAAAATTGATACATCCTTTCTACATAGCAGTTTCATTTCTAAAGATTTATTATTAAGAAATAATTGCATCTATATATATATATAAAGTGGTAATATGCAAATTAGCCGGGCATCACAACCGGCTCAGGAGGAGGCTGCATCACAACTGCTCAGGAGGAGCTGTGCACGCAGATGGGCGGGAGGGGACTGCATGCTGCCCCCAGCCCCAGCGGACACACACCAGGGGTGGCAGTGGCGGCAGGAGCGAAGCAGCCTGGGTCCTGGCTGGGTGCCGGAGGGAAGCCGGTGCCAGCAGACAGGGGAAGGAAGGCCTATTCTTGCACGAATCTTCATGCATCGGGCCTCTAGTATATGCATAAAGATGCATCCAGGGAAATGTTTGCAATTATAAACTGTTAGAATGAACAATCTAAACTTCTAATAATGGAGAGTTTATTGGTAAATTATGAGGTACTATATTGCCATTAAGAATTATGTGGGGGGTTTTTCTAAAGGAATTATGTTTTAGGAAAATATTTTAAAACAGGAAGAAGTTCTCAATATATTAAGTTTAAAAAGTATACTTATAGAAAATAATCCTATATTAGTTTTAGTGTATATGTACATTTGTATTTATATTGTGTTTAGTTTTCTATATATAGTATATAACATAAATCTAACAGACAAACTAAAATTATATTTATCAAATAATACTAGTTATTTCTTAATTATGTGATGATTACAGGAAGGCTTTATTTTCCTTTTTCCTAATATTTTATACAAGAAACATGTATTATTTTTGTCATATACATATAATTCATATATGTGTGTATAATAGCTTTTCAATTTTTTTTCAAATGGACTAATCTGTTTATTCATACGATTTTTTTTTCTATTCATACAATGTTTTCTTGCTGTTTTGAAAGGAATTCATTTGGAAATGTGGGATTGAGATTGATAATCAGCAGGTTCCAACTCTCTGCACCTGATAATTAGTGCAGACCTGAAATATCAACGTAGTTTCTCCCCCATGTGGCTGCTGTGTGGTGTAGCCACCCAGTGCTGCTGTACCTACATTCACACTTCTTTTTTCTTTTTTTTCCAGAGGAGGAGAGAGAGAAACAAACATCAATGATGAGGGAGAATCATTGATTGGCTGCCTCCTGCACGAACCCCAGTGGGGACTGAGCCCGCAATCCGAGCATGTGCCCCGACTGGGAATCGAACCATGACCTCCTGGTTCATAGGTCAACACTCAGCCACCGAACCACACCGACCTGGCACATTCTTGATGGTTTGAAAAGCAAAGCAAAAAGTATGCTTATATTGCTTTCAAAAGGAAACTAAGTAATAGAGGGAAGAAACAGCAAAGGCATTCAAACAAGACTGGTTTTGTGCCAAGGAATACATCCTGTAGTGGAAATGTACATTTTAAATATCTATTTTTACAAATACCTGTTGTTTAGGTGAAAAGCCCAGAAGGGAAGTTTCAGAAGACCAGTACTGGAGCTGTCAGAATGCAACCAAAATCAGATGAGCTGAAGTTTGTCACCAAGAACGATGGATATGTGCACATTCACCCTTCATCAGTGAACTATCAGGTCAGAATAGCAGGGTATACTCACAGTTACATATGGCTGGTGGGGTAGGAAACACAGTCCCTTAAGTTCAGCCAAACCATGCTCTATCACTTGCTGTGCCCAGCAGCATCACTGGGGAAGACAGGCAAGCAAACCACCTCAGCTTGGTGACACATGTTATGAAGAGAAATCAGTCAGAGAGATTGAGAGATAGGAGAGGGGCTGTTTTCCGTAGAGTGGTCAGGGAAGAACTCTGGGGAGCAAACCATGGAGCAAATCCTAAGGGCAGGGAAGGGCGAGCCATGCAGGTATCTAAAGAGAACATTCCAGCAGAGGAAATAAGTGTGAAGACCATGAGAGGGAGCATGTTGGTGTGTTCCAGGAAGTGCAGTGGGATGATTAGGGGGAGGGTGGCGGGTGACTGGGACAAGTAGGCAATGGTCAGGTCATGTAGGACCTTGTGAGCCATGGCAGGGATCTGGGGTTTGTCTGGGGGAAATCATTGGAGCCTTTTGAGCCCTAACTGGATTGTGTTTTTAAACCATCTCTGTGGTTGCTGTGTGGAATAGAAGCTGTAAAGATGCGAAGGAGCAGGGCGAGTACTTAGGAGGCACTGCGCAAGGGGATGGCTATAGAAGTGGTCAGAACGTGTCAGTTCATTATGTATTTTGAAAATAGAGCTGGCAGGACTCAGCAAGGTGACGGGACTTATCGATGATGTAGATAGAGTGAGGGGGGAAGTACAATCAAGGATGACTCTTTGGGGTTTGAGCAACGGGGTGAAGGGGGGTGCCATTTACTTAGATAATGAACACTGCATGAAGGGGAAATCAGGAATTTCTTCTGAACATAAGAAATTTGACGTGCTTATTGGAGCCCATGTGGAGATGTCAAGTAGGTAGTTGCACATACAAGTCTGGAAAAGTACAGACTGGAGATGATTTTGTAAGTTACCGACAGGTGGTATTTGCGTCCATGGGACTGGTGGAGGCCCCCTCATGTTGCCAGTGACGTTGCTGTCATCACCTGAGGTTTTATGCTCCAGGTCAGACACTTTGACAGCCCCTACCTGCTGTACCACGAGAAGATCAAAACTAGTCGGGTGTTCATCCGCGACTGCAGCATGGTGTCTGTGTACCCGCTGGTCTTGTTCGGAGGAGGCCAAGTGAATGTGCAGCTTCAAAGGGGAGAGTTCGTCGTCTCCTTGGATGATGGTTGGATTCGTTTTGCGGCTGCTTCCCATCAGGTAAGGACAGATCCATCCTGTGAGTCTCAAGCCATGAAGGGATTTGATAATATGAAGTATAGGGCATTCCTTCAGGGACCAAGGACAACAGAGCTGGTTAAGAGTGAATGATGGGTCTGCAGTGAGATACTAAGAAAGGATGAGGCTGGAGTGACGCCAGGGGCAGAGCCTTAGTAAGACTTCCGGCAGCACACCTGAGAGGAGGAGCCCAGGCTGGGCTGCTGTGGGCGATTCTGGACAGAAGCTGTGAGTGAGGTGTTGGACCTTCCTCACTGATATGCAAATAATGTGCTCACCAAAGAAAAATCAGAAAATATAGATGAGCAAAAATAAATAAAAATCAACCCTGAGTCTACCTCTACCATTAAAAAAACAGGTAATGGATCTGAATTCTTTTATTCTCAAGTATCAGTTATGCACTATGTGGAGCCTGCAGAAAACATTTAAGGAGCAGTACATATGTTTAAGGAATAAAAACTCAGCTTAACACTTGCATCTGTTAGAAATCTTACATTGCCAGAAGCAAAAACACCAACTCAAACAAAGGGAATATACTGGTGTATTTAACTGTAAAGTCTAAAGCAGCACAATCCAATAGAAATATGTGAGCCACTATGTAATTTCAATTTTTGTAGTAGCCACATTTAAAAAAAGTAAAAAGAAGTCAAATTAATCTTAATATATATTAAGTAACCTAATACATCTAAGAGATTTTAATTTCAACACATAATCAATATAAAAATTTATTGAGATATTTTACATTCTGTTTTCGTACTAAGTCTTCAAACTCTGGTGTGTGTTTTACCTTCACAGGACAGTTCGCTTTGGACCAGCCATGTTTCATGTGGTCATTAGATTGGCCGCAGGTGACTGCTGGCTGCCATATTGGACAGTGCAGGTCAAAAAGGCCAGGCAGGGAGATTCAGTTCAGCAACTCAATGGCGATAAAGCCTGGCTGACCTGTGGGTAGCAGGATGGCTGTGGTGGCACCAGGCCTGACCTCATGCAGCATACTGTCCAGAGGGGAGACCAAATCCTTTCCTAAAAGTTCCATTGAACCTTCTCTTCCTAAACCAGTTCTTGTGGCCAAAGGAATGTCATGGGCACTAAGGCCGGAATTACCTGAGCCATTCCCCCTGGCAAGGATGGCATGAGCCTGTTGGATTTAGATCAGGGTCCAAACTACACGTTGCCGAACAATGGGGGAGGGGCAAGGCAGATGTTGGGAAGACATCTACAGTGCCACTGAAACATCAGCACAAGCAAAGTGACATAAAAGTGTGGTTTTTCTCCTCACAAAAGCATAAAGTGTATCCCAAAGCTAAAAGATTTTTTTAAATTCTTGCCGAAACCAGTTTGGCTCAGTGGATAGAGCATCAGCCTGCGGACTGAAAGGTCCCGGGTTCGATTCCAGTCAAGGGCACGTACCTGGGTTGCGGGCACATCCCCAGTAGGAAATGTGCAGGAGGCAGCTGATCGATGTTTCTCTCTCATCGATGTTTCTAACTCTCTATCTCTCTCCTTTCCTCTCTGTAAAAAATCAATAAAATATATTTTTAAAAAATAAATAAATAAATAAATTCTCCATTTTCCGGCTTCTCTTCTTGGAGCAAATTATAAAAGTTGGCCAAGCTTTAATGTGGAGAACACTACATAAAAGCCATTCTTTCAATGAGATGGGATAGAGGAGCCTTTTTATATTGGAGCCCATTTTGTATATCAGAGCTCACAGTGAGTGAATGTTCCTATTGTTGGGTCAAGAACTTTTAGAAACATTTTTAGAATGAAAATGTATTTAGTTTCCACCCCCACCCCACTAATGAAGTTAAAATTCATACCAGGAGTCTCAAAGAATGATAACGGGCATTTCCTTTGATAATCTCCCTCTCCTGTTGGTCACACGCCACTGACATGCCACTCCCTTTTAGGTGGCTGAATTAGTAAAGGAATTGCGCTGCGAGCTTGACCAGCTCCTCCAGGATAAGATCAAGAACCCGAGCATAGACCTGTGCATGTGTCCTCGAGGATCCCGCATCATCAGCACGATTGTGAAGCTTGTCACCACACAATAAAGACCCGTCTTAGGAGAGTGCTTGCTACTCACCTGCTTCTTGTTCACCCGGGAAACAGCAGCAGCACCTCTACCTCGAACTCAAGCTCTGATGAAGGAGCCCAGGGCCTGCACTGCCCAGGCTGCCAAGGCACCGCATTCCCTTAGGGAAATTGTCCAGACTGAGTATTTCTAACAGCAGTGGGCACTCCCAGCACAATTGGAGTGTCGTGGTAAGACAGTCTACAGACCCGCCTGCCTGTCTTTTTCCCTGGGACTGTCCTAGAATGAATGAAATGCGCCTGATAACACACAAGTGAATGTGTATTCTGTTTTAATCTGCATATTCTTTTTCTCCTGCTTTTTACTGGGGTGAGATAAGGGCATGAGGAGAGATACTGATTGTTGTTTCTATCATACAGGCTCAACTGAGAGAAGTTAGAACAGAGAAGAAAAAAAATCATGTGAGCAAGAAAGATTAAAATTTCATTGTAGGCTATTGGCTACAGAGTAAACTTGATTTGTGAGGGATTTTTATTTTTACTCATTCAAGGTAAGCCTTAAAAAATAAACTTAATGAGTTCTTAATTGTTACTAAAATGCAAGCTGGTCTTATCCACAACACTCTAATTCTTAAAAGCAGAACCGTCTGAGTGTCTTTATTCTCCTGTAGGTTTTCCATTTAGAAATTACTTTCTTCTGAACTCACCCGGATCTAATGGCCACATTTCACATTACCCAAAAGGAATTTTAATGGTATTCTCAGAGCAAAGTTGGCATGGTTGAGGGAGAAAGGGTTGCCATGCCAGTGTCAGATTTACAGTCATAAAAATGCCTTCCATGAGACTTATTTCAGCCACCACTTAGGTTAATGGAGCACTGGCATTTTGAAAAAATAGGAGTACATGTATATTTTCCCCTGGCATTTATCAGTGTGGCCAGGAAGAATCCCAAAGAACTGGGTGGAAAAATATTCCTGTTTGTCTAGCCCTCAAGTTTCATACCATAGCTAACATTCAAACTAATCGAGAAAAACCACCTCAATGAAGGGTGTTCCCTTTTTAAGATTTTATTTTAGTTAAATAAGACTCTTAGACTGTCCAAATTGATCATTATGAGGTGTATTTAAGCACCAGTGCACTTAAGCAGAGTGCAGACAATATCCAAGCCCTGACTTGCTATTGAAACAGGCTCAGATTACAAAAATGATTAGGCTTGGACACTTAGGAGAAATGAAGGCTAAAACTGCACTGAGCCTCTAAACAAGTTTTTAAAAGCCGTTTTGACTCTTGGTGCTATAGTGGAGCGCACGCTGCCCTAGCAGAGCCGTGGGGACTGGTAACACGTTTGCAGCAGAGCACACAGCTGGGAGCGCGCTGACTACAAAACTTCCGGTTCCAAGGGCTGAGAAGTTGCTCCCCTCAGGAAGCCCTTCTTGGGCTGGTTACTTGCAGCCACATACACATGCACAAATCCTACCCTTTCATAGGTGGCCAGGATGTGAAAAGGTTGGACACCTTGAATAAGAAAATCCTCACCCCAAAACTCTTAAAATTTATGAACTATGAAATAAGATTACTCCTTTGTGATTAAAGGTCAAAATGCAGTAGAGTATTTCACTGTGGCCTGGATTTCTAAGCCCCAACAAGATTGTCAGCACGTAATGTTAATTTTGTTAAGAACTCTGTGGATGTTTTCTGAAATATTTGTTTTACTTTTATTGGATTCTAGTTAGGGAATCGTATTAATAAAATACTGGCTACAAAATTAGTCTGCACTACTGTTTTGTACTATGTCTAGCTGAGTTCTCAGAAAATTAGAAGAGCTAACCATTCTTACAGAGGTCGTCATAGGTTGACAGAGCATTAGCTCTGTCTTCCTCCTGGACTTCATATCTGGTTAGAGCGTAGGCCTGCGCACCACAGGGTCACACATTTAATTCTCTGTCAAGGGCACATATCTGGGTTGCAGGTTCAATCCCGGCCCCAGTTGGGGCGCATGCGGGAGGCAACCAATCGATGTATCTCTCTCACATCGATGTGTTTTCCCTCTCTCTCTTCCTCTCTCTCTCTCCCTCTCCCTCTCCTTCTCCCTCTCCCAAAATGGAAAATATCCTCAGGTGAAGACTAACAACAGCAAAAAAGAATTTGAGAAAATTCTATATACAAACTAGGGGCCCAGTGCACAAAAATTTGTGCACTGGGGAGGGGGTTCCCTCAGCCCAGCTTGCCCCCTATCACATACTGGGAGCCCTAGGGGATGTCCTACTACCTGCTCCCTGCTCCCCTTGGGGAGCAGGCCTAAGCCACAGTCTGGCCTCCCTTTGTGGGAGTCGACCGGGCTGATCAGGGGAAGGCACCAGCCCCATCACCGCACTGTTGCAGCCACTGCCAGTCACCGCAGCCACCAAGGTGTTTTCATCAACACGGACTCCAGTCCCTTTACCATGAAAAAATGACAACTTTCTTTAGGCATTTTCAAGAAGTGTCTTTCATAGGATATGACATTTCTTTCTTTCTTTATCCTCACCTGGGGATATGTTTCCATTGATTTTTAGAGAATGTGGAAGAGAAAGGGAAAGACAGAGAGAAACATCAAAGTGAGAGGAACACTTTGATTGGTTGCCTCCTGCATGAGCCCTGACCTGGGCCGGAGCCAGGGAGGAACCTGCAACCTAGGTACATGCCCTTGGTCAGAATTGAACCCAGAATCTGCGTTGGGCAGGCCGAGGCATTATCCACTGAGCCAAACCGGCTAGGACAGGATATGACATTTCTTAACCCTCCAGCAGCAGACCTTCATTTTTTTCTCCAGG